GTCCATATGAGAACTACCCTCCCAATTCTCAACTTTACGCCCCACGACAGAGAATTTAAAATGGCAAGGTTTTTCTTGAAAGACGACAGCCACACATGGGTAATCGTCGTGGGAAAAGACTGTAGCGACACGATGACGATGTTGATGTTTCACGTCAAATGATTTTGAGTTTTAACCATTTAGTCGCTGAGTCCTTTTTGGTGGCGTGTTCAATACAACTTTTAGTAATTAATTGGAAATAAGCAAAAACACATTGCAATTTGTTGGTAACCACAGTTCTCGCCCAGTACTTTGTTGCTAAGCACCTATCAATTGTTAAACGAAATAGAAAACTCATGAGCAAGGTGCATTTTCTGACAATAAATTGAAGGGCAAACTTAAAAAACCGGACAAAAGCATGTTCCGTCGTGGTAGCGTAGCTGTTTCAAGAGTTTGATTGCTCGTATTTAAGTGAATAATGTATACTTTACATTAACTTTGTATACTAAAATGTTTTGCATTATAGTAACACCACCCTTTAATAATAGACTAGAATTGTTTTTTTTTACACTGTGTGTAATTATCCATTGACAGCTAGATGATTCAATTTGATTTACGTGTGTAATTAAAAATAAATTGTTACACAATGAGATTGAACTGTTGTTTGTTTGTAGTTACCTCTTTATGAGGATCTTACATTTACATCCATCCAATATATTCTGTAATGTCCATGGCGCTGTTGACGTCCATAGACGACGGTTTTTTTAAGGATGATAATGGAATAGTAACTATTCTAGAGGGAACGATGTGGAGATCGACCTAACAGGGTATACTACTAGCAATGGTCACAATACAAACAATCCCCCCCCCCCCCCTCCTTATAGATCAGACCACTTTCCATCAGATCAACTTAAAATTAAGAATTTCGATACCTAAAAGTTATTATCTAAATCTTGTTATTATTTTTTATAGTTGTTATAATTTCTCAATATTTCATTGTATCCTTTAATAAAACGATAATTCTAAATGTTGATATTGTAATATATCAACATCATTATTACAGAGCTCGTGTGGTTTCGGCATAGAATGGGCCACCCCTTCCTTTCCCGTGTCTCGTGAGAGGCGTCTAAGAAAACTAAATAATCGAGGGATGGGCAGCAACGTCCCTCTTAAAACATCTTCAAAAGTCAAACTACGTTTACCAACCCGCATGCTAAGTATGACAACTACGGGCAAAACCCTCTATTAATAAGAGACCTATGTGGACAAGACCAGCAGTGGACAGGCAACGACTGGTATGATGATATAATAATACCATTATTGTTGCTATAATGTTATATATTATAGTTTATCTTATATATAAAATTCTTGTGTCGCGGTGTTTGTTACCAAACTCCTCCGAAACGGCTTTACCGATTTTTATGAAATTTTGTACACATATTGGGTAGGTCTGAGAATCGGCCAATATCTATTTTTCATACCCCTCAATGATAAGGGTAATCCACCCTTAATTTTTTTTTATTTTTTGACAATTTTGTTTTTTTTATTTTTATTTTATCACCTCCTTGAAACATTTTTGTCCACTCATCACGAGAAGCTTTCATGTCCATGTGTTCTGGGTTTAATATAAATTTCGTAGAAGACTGAATATATACTCGTCAGTATTATTTTTAAAAGTAACTTGTTCAAGACGCTTTTTTTTTATAGTAAACAAACTAAACCACTAAATAAGTACTACAGAGTTTAACCAGTAAAACAGTCCTACCACATTATTGAGATAACTACGGTTTCTAATTAAAAATTCCAAGAAATTAACGTCAACTAGGGCTAGTGTGCACGATCTTTAAAACCAGCTGTCAGTTCTAAGAAATACGTTTCTTGTATTCATAGAAACAATCACACGAGTTGCGGTGGTATTGACCTTAAGAGGGCGCACACCGTAAGGCAACCAATATCACCATTATTTATTTATTTATTCTTTACTAGCTTTCACCCGCGACTTCGTCCATGTGAAGGAAATATTTTTACCGGGATAAAGAATAGCCTGTAATCTTCTCAATTCATTATAAAATATATATACTAAATTTCATAGTGATTGGTTAGTAAATTAAATAATGGCGCTATAAAGTAACAAACAAACAGACTGAGCTCCCTGTCAAAGTTTTTCCAAAAGAGTACAACAACATGGGGCTCTTCAAAAAAAGGACAAAGAGGATTCTTCAGGGTCGGCAACGTGCGCGTAATTCCCCTGATATTGCAGGCGTTCATGGGCTACGATAACCGTTTACCATCAAGTGGACCGTATGCTTGTTTGCCATCCGCCCAATAAGTAATCTGGCGTGTCGACAACAACATTTTGTCGTTTCTTTAGAAAAAAATATCAGTTTTAGTAGCAGAACACTTCCTTGACTTTCTAATGGTATACTAATTATTTTTGTTTCACACAGTAAGTTTTCCTTATCGTCGCCTTTGATTCTTTCTATCTGTTGATCAAACACTCATCTCTAGCTCGATATAGAGAAGCACGTAATAAAATTTTAATTAAAATATTAACATTTCAGTTTTTAACATGTTAACATTTATGTAAAATAATTATAAAACCACCCATAATATTTCGCAGGACGCGCGGCGTGATTGCGATGGGCCTTTTAACCAATTACCACTCGCTCAAACTCAAAATCCAGAAGCGTGGATGCAAACTGGAAACAGAAAACTGTACTATTATTATGTACATAATGGGATTGCCATACGTCGCGGGTTTAAACGGAAAAAATGCCTATTAAAACTTAACATTGCTATTTTTTTTTGACGAGTGAAAATGGAATGGTAACCCCGCCTACGCTAACGGGATACGCAGGCGGAGCACCAGTGAAGGGTGAGAGATGAGAATGAAAACAGGCCAGTTAGCCCATCATGATGAATTCATCAGTAATTAACCATGACAGTTTCCAGAGAGAACCGCGAAGAGGTCGACCTGTTTGGGTATATTGCTAGCAATGGGATTCTCAGTCTCCATTACTAACAATCCTTTTCCCCCTAACATTGCTATTAAACGTGCATGGTGTTAGTCGATCATGCACGGGCTTTTTAATGGCCATGTTAGGCATAGTACCAGATTTACCAGAGGGAGACCTTATACAAAAGTCGATTGCTTGGGCACCTCTGTCTCATTCGTGTTTCAACCATGAAGCAGTTGTGTTTGTATGGCTGTGTTTCGATTTGAAAGGTAGGATATGGCAGTGAATTTACAGAGTATAGAGCCATAAAACCTGAGTCCTCAGAAATAGCAACGCAAAGGGGGCTATCATGGGCGAAACAGTATACTCAATTATGTGCATGGTAGTGCTCATATCTATAGGTGACGATTACCACTTTCCATCAAATGGTCCATCAGCTTATTTGCTATTCTAAGTTGAATAAAAAAAATTATCTAAAAGTTTGTAATTTCTTGATTAGTGAAATATTTGATTCTGTAATTATCATCAGTACTATAAAGGCTATCTGTTTACTTTAAATAAATAAATAAATGCACAAAATTACAATACAGGAGAATTAAGAAAGTTTTTTTTTTTTTTTTAAGGAAAAAAATACTATAACTTACCAATTAAGTATCTCCTCCTTTTCGAAACCGCTTTTAAATTGCCTTTTTTATTTTGTTGTATAATTGCGAACTACTTAATTACACATTCAAGACACATGTGTGTTGTGACCGTAGTTTGTAATTATCATCGGAAATGTCTCAATTTTTATCCAAAATAAATGTTTTATGGTAATATCTGATCTATGTTAGTAATGCTATATAATTATGTCAGAGATAATTCTACATCTATGGTATCATTTGATTTCTAGAGTTAATTGCGTATGTAACTCATAGTTCTATGTGGTTCCGTAATCTGTAATTATATCCGCATATACTTACATTTATCGCATATATTACCGAAAAATTGATGCTCTAGAGATATGGTGCTGGCGACGATGGCTGCAAATACCTTAAACTGCCTTTCGAACTAACGTTTCCATTCTGAAAGAACTGAAAATCGGAGAGAGATTGTCGTCGACTGTTCGTATACAAATTCTCAAGTACTTCGGCTATATCATCCGGAATAAAGATTGTATAGAACGTCTAATTGTCCAAGGAGCGGTACAAGGCAAACGTTCTCGGGGTAGATCACCAACGCGATGGACTGACCTCATCAAAACGGCCACATAGCAGTCTATTGTGGAATGCTCTCGCTCGGCTGTGAACAGAAATAGATGGAGACATATTGCAAGGACTTCAATCGCGAAGGAGAGCCTCATCGACGATCCACTGTCATTGTAAAAACCATGACCACTCTGTCAAGAGTGTACGACTGAAGAGAGAGATATACTTACATATACTGATAATAATATATAGCACATCAACGCGCCCTTTGCTCCAATTAGAATATCCAAGATGTGTATGTAACAAGAGCATTAACAAATTTGTATTTAAATTTGGTGATCATCATCATATCAGCCATTAACCGTCCACAGCTGAACGTAGACCTTCTCCTAGGGGGTTTTGGCAGTAGTTGCCACGCTTGATAGGAGGCAACCGCAGTTAGGCTTTGGTGATGTTTAAAGTGGAGCGTTCCTGACAATGCCTGAACCATTAAGTTCCCTTAGTTGCCTCTTAGGATGCCCACAGGAAGAAAATATTTAATTTGATACTGTAGCAAAACTATTGAATGAATGAATAAGTATACATTATTAATTATTTATTTGTGTTTTCATATGTTTATTACTTTACTATTACATTACAATTTCCTATTACAACATTACAGTTAATTTTACGAAAAACTAGTTACATTTTTAGTAAAATTCCTTTGAATAATTAATTATATTAAATTGAAATTTTTATTTTAGAGATGGAGAACGGTGCTTCGGAATCGACTCCACTCGACTTCATTTTCATACAATATATATATATATATATATATATATATATATATATATATATATATATATATATATATATATATATATATTATTTTATTGGCACATAAAACAGATCACAAACTTAAATAATAGTTACATTTGTGATTCGGCTAGGTTATAATTCAATCACAATATGTGCACAGCTTGAGTAGTTTATGAAAAGCAAACACATAAAATAAAGAAAATACTTAAAATGTTATATAAATATATAAAAGATAAAACTATATAAAAGAAACATATTTTCAATTAAACAAAAAACATATTAAATGGCTTCCTCTCGTTTCTTCGGCCCATAGTTAGGCGGCACCTTTTGTAGTCCATATCTGCAACAAAACCAGTTAAATATTTAATTCCCTGATAGATTTCACTTACCATATTGAGGACGACCTTGGCAGTGTAGTAGTTTACACTACCACACATTCCTATAGTTAGTTACAGGTTCCATCCCAAAACAATAAAAAGATTTAAAAATATTACTGCTTGTATTCTGAGTCTGGATGTTTTCTACTCGTATGTAACACAATATTAAAATAATAGAAACTACATTTTAGTTTTAGCCAAAAAGCCGAGAAGTGATAATAATGGGTCTCTCTGCCCGCCCTCCACGTAGTTTCCCTAGAGACCGTCATAGTTAATTCCTGATGAATTTATCACAGTAGGCCCACTAACCTGAACTACTAGTTATATTGGGAGGGAAAGGGATTGTTAGTAATGGGTCTAATTGACCTATTGCTAGCAATATTCCCTATCAGGTCGACCTCCACACGGTTCCCCCTTGAAACCATCGTTAATTCTAGTGGAATTCGTCACGATGGGCTAAATGACCTGCCTTTTCATCCTCACCTATTATCCCTCACTGGTCCCTAGCCAGTGTTTCCCGATAGCGCAGGTGGGATTACCATTTCATTATTATTCAATAAAAAAACTAGTTATATTATGTATTCATCTTCACCTATCTTTCACTGGTTCCCCCTTAACGTAAACCAATGGCGCAGGTAGAATCCATTCCATTTTCGTCCATTTATACGGATATCATTAACAAATAATTTATACATTATTTTATGAGTAAACCCATAATACACAGACAGCGTCTCATACTTGAAAAACCCAGTGCAAACAGCTTTATTCGTATACCAACAAACAGTACACAATAGGCATTCTCGACACCCGCCGCGGTCTATTGTCCATGGTTCAATTCCCGGCGCGTTCTCTAACGAACTTCTCATTGTGATTTTGAATTCAAAAAGCTATTAAATATTGGTGCTTATTTATATATACATAAAGTTTATAATCGTTTGATTGTGCATTGTCTATGAATGGAACTCAAACTGTGTTTGATTGTCGCTGGTGAAATATGTTGACTAATAAAAATGTATAGATTTTATAATCGAAACAATATGTTCAGTCGTTAACCATCTATTTCCATCTATGCCATAAAAATATAGAAACAAATAATTTCGTGGCTCAAGAATTTAAAAATAGAACAAACATTTTTGAATCAAATATTCTAAAACTGAAGAAAGCTCATAATTTTGTTTTTGTTTATCACAATGAACAAAATTAGAGAAAATAATTTCGTTTCACTGACAGAAGGCATCCTAAAAAGGATGCTAATGATGTCAATCGGACTCAATTTCGTGTTTTTGTTTATACCAAAATCGGACCAATAAATGGAGTATAACATTTCTTTCGTCATACATCCATATCATTATCATAAAAGTCAAAAGTAACAATATTTTAACATTTTTAATATTTCCAAACGGCATGTATTATGTAATTTTAACATCAAATTTCTGTTTCGTTGGGCTCCGAAATTTCGAAAAACATTTCATGGTAGGCCCTCTGTATACAAGTGAAAACTACGTATTAAATTACTGGCTTCTACCCGCGAGTTCGCATGATCGGGATATGTTTACTGACCGGCATAAAAAGTAGCCTGTATCCGTCGCCATTCCATATACGAGTAGTACGTGTATACCAAATTTCACAGTGATTAGTTAAATCGTTAAGGCGCTATAAGGTAACAAACAAACTCACTTTCACATTTATAATATTAGTAAGGATTATAAGTGAGTGAAAATTGTGCTGGTATAGTGATAGAGGGAGACTTTGAACAAAAGTCGATTGCTTGGATACCTCTGTCCCATTCGTGTTCCCGATTCCCATTTCAACCGTGAAGCAGTTGTGTTTGCATGACTGTGTTTCGGTTTGAAGGGTGAGATATGGCATGTATTTACTGGGTACAGAGGAATAACATCTGAGTCCTCGGAATGGCAACACATAGGGGGTATCATGGGCAAAACAATATACTCTGTTATGTCCATGGTACTGCTCATGTCTATAGGCAACGGTTACCACTTACCATCAGGTGGGCCGTTAGCTTGTTTGCCATTCTAAGTTATATAAAAAAGACATTTTTTTATGAAATGAAATGAAATGAAATTTATTTGCTAGAAACATTGTAGAAAAGGTGTTGCATTTGTGAAGTTTATAAGATGTCCATTATGTTTCGCCACATCAAATGGCATGCAAATATTAATTATTGAATTTATCCATTTTCTATTTTATACAGGTACATCATATATTTAATTTTCAATTACATATACAATAAATCACTATTAGTACGAAGTGTCACTTTGGTCATGCATTACAAACAGTCAATAAAGCTACTACAAATAATAAAATGATAAAAATGTCAAATAAAATTAAAATTACAATTTAAATTTCAACTAAGTCAATGTCACAGCATTTATATTTTACAAAAACTCATTAATAGTAATTTTAGTTTATATACTGCGTTATCAAGTCAGAAAATAATATTCTTTTTTTAGTTATGTATAATTTTTATATTTGTATTACTTACTCTGTTATGTCCATGGTATTGCTCATGTCTATAGGCGACGGTTACCACTTTCCATCAGGTGGGCCGTCAGCTTGTTTGCTATTCTAAGTTGTATAAAAAAACCATTGTAGTATAAATCAAATCAGTAAACCCATCGTAACGACATCGAACGAACCCATCGCATTTAATTACGACAGTTTTAAGAGGTGGTTTTCAAAAGTCTCATATTGCTAACAATACAGTTTGTTAACATAAAAACATCTGTATAAATGCGAATCATTCTACTCTACAACTGTCACCGTCATCTTCATCATATCAGCCTTTATCTGTCCACTGCTGAACATAGGCCTTCCTCATAGACTGCCAGAACTAAGGAACGGTCCTGAGCCACCTGCATCCACTGATTTTACACAACGCATTTGAGGTAGTCACTCCATCTTTTGTTTGTTGTCGTTGAACTCTACAAATATATTTAATAATAATTTATCTGAGAGATAACACTGAAACAGATCACCGTAGTTCCCAGTAATGGTACCATATGAGGGATACTTTTATGGATGACAATGGAATGGTACCCCGCCTACACCATGCAGGCGAGATTCCATTTCATTCCATTATCACTTTCAGTCCATTATTATACCACAGCCTGAGCGTTAGCAAGAGAAAACTCATTTGAAACCGCACTGTACGTGACCATTTAGGTTCAAGCATTTCGCCATCAACGGGAATGTCATCTTCACATGATTTTCCTGTTGATGACGAGCAGTGCGATGATAAAAGTCTAAACGTAGTCTCATTTAATTACATCTAAACAAAACTATCCCATTATATAAAAGAGTGACTTGTAGGGAATAGACGTAAGTCATAGATATAAAAACTTATCATCTTTAAATGGGAGTATTATAGCTACTGGCCGTGTGGTCCCAGCATAGAATAGGCCACCCCTTCCTTTCTCGTGGGTGTCTTAAGAACCGACTAAGAGATTTATTTTGATGGGTGAAAATGATATGGTAACCCCACCTGCGCTAATGGGATATGCTGGCGGAGCATCAGTGAAGGGTGATAGATAAGAATGAAAACAGGCCAGTTAGTCCATCATGGTGAATTCATCAGGAATTAACCATGATAGTTTCCAGGGAGAACCGCGAGGAGGTCGACCTGGTTGGGTATATTGCTAGCAATGGGATTCTCAGTCTCCACTACTAACAATCCCTTTCCCCCCACCGACTAAGGGAGGACAAGGGATGATCAGCAGCATCCCTCTTAAAACATCTCTAAAGCCTGATTGCGGTTGACAATTCGCCTGCCAAGCGTGGCAACTACTAGCAAGCCCCCTCTTAGAGGGAGGCTTATGTTCAGCAGTGGACAGTTAAAGGTTGATATGATGATGATGGAATTGCCACTGAATTGAATACACAGTACTCAACAAATAAGTAAGGGTACCAACATACAAGGCTAAAATGTCGGCTATAGAATACCATAAATCGAGATGATCAGGGCCATGCTACATCAACCGTACTTGAATTCCAATATTTTATTATTGCTTACTAACAGTAAAACTTTTAAATTTACATAATATTATGGAAATTCAATGGGACGGAATCTAACATCAGAAATATTTTTTTTATGTTCATATTTATTAGCTTGGCCAGCGGTCGTACAAGATGAAAGTAGTAAGGGGACGACCTTTGCCCATCAGTGGAACACCGTAGATATGATTAATTGATTGATTTTTTTTTATTTTAAATACACAATCGGGACTTGACGTGATGAAAAAACCTTAACAGGTAAATAGTACTTTCAGGGGGGAAAGGGATTGTTAGTAATGGAGACTAAAAATCCCATTGCTAGCAATATACCCAACCAGGTCGACCTCCTCGTGGTTCCCCCTGGAAACTATCATTGTTAATTCCTGATGAATTCATCATGATGGGCTAACTGGACTGTTTTCATTCTCATCGATCACCCTTCACTGGTGCTCCGCCAGCGTATCCCGTTAGCGCAGGCAGGGTTACCATTCCATTTTCACTCACCAAAAAAAAATAGTACTTTCATACCTGCTTCTTTATTGCCGAGCTTTGGACGTGGATTGCACCATGTCATGGTCATGACAGGACTGAAGTGAGCGGCGTCTTCATCTGGCAACTTGCGTAGTCTCTTCGGGTAACCTCACACCGTCACTATTGTGATCAAAAATGTATAGGACAGTGGGAGGTTAAAACTCGATTGTGTATTTAAAATATGTGTAAACAACACGAAAGTTTAAAATTAAAATTTAAGTTCAAAATAAGTGATTTTTAGCATTTATTTAATTATTGTTCATCTATACGCATACCTACTTTTTTTTATTCTCATTAATATTTATCATTTCTAATATTATTAACATGAAAATGGCCACGCGAGCTCCATCTTAAATCAAATCATTGTTTTCCATTAGGTGAGATCGTATCAAACGTGGGACCTTTCAATCGTAAAAAAAGTAAGTTTATTTGTTAACCAATTACTATGAAATTTGATACACATGTACTATATGGAATGGAAAAGGATATAGGCTCCTTTTTATCCTGGTCAGTAAACATATCCCGGTCTCAGGTACACATTCATGGGTAAACCCTAGTTTTACTATAATTACAACTCTGTCATTCAACATGAACGTAAATCTGAAACTACCATATTTATTAGAAGAAACCACATTTCTATAAATCAAGTACCTAGTCTGTCATGGAATGGTCTGTACATAGTCAAATGGACATTACAAACAGTCAGACAACCGAAGATCTAAAAACGTCAACTTTCTGCATACATTACGGACGCACGGTGAAACCACTGCACACAACGTAACGTAGGCATCTAATGCAGTTTTCTTGTGTATTTTGCATGCAGAGGTAAAAGCTGTATGTTGTATTGTAAAACAATTGCACAAATAAGGAAATGATGTTATGTTTATGTAAAGTAGTGAACTAAATGGTTTCTGGCGCTTCAGTGTTTCAAGTTCTTGAATAATAAATAATAATTAGTTGTGACACTAACAGACTTTTACACGACTGACCATTAAGTTAAATTGTTTAAAAAAAAACAATTTCAATTGCGGTAAAACAAGTTATTTTGAGCTAAAAACTAAACTACTAGATATATAGATATGTATATTTAATAGAAACTAGAAATATACATTTATATTGTTGAATTTATTTTAACTCTATATGTATTTAAAATTACAAAATTTTCATCGTGCCTCCGATAAAACTGTTTATAAGTACTCTTCCCCATCCAAAGGTTGCCTGGAAGAGGTCACTTTTAGCGATAAGGCCACCCATTGTTTTCTCAGTGTGAACATTTCTTGTAATTGTTTGTATCTATAATAAGTTTGCTACTGTAATCTTTTGGAGGAAACAATAAAAAGTGTCTATCTATCTACTAAACCTATTTTGATAAAATTTCTCTAATACAAATTTGTAAGTATATCTTTCAAATAAAAAAATTATTTTTCAAATAGGTTTACAACTAACGGAGTTATGAATCCACCAATTTCCAGTAGTGGGACTATAATCGGATGATCTATGAAACGATCCTAATAACTTTGTTAACCAAATTAAATGACAGGTAATTTTGAATTCCTTTATTTTCAACCGACTGACAAACAAAAAGAGAAGCTTTTCAATTCGATTGTATTTTTTATGTTTGTTACCTCAGAACTCTGTTACCAATAAACCAAATTATAAAAACTCTTTCTTTATCTGAAAAGATAAACTTTTAGATTAATCTCATATAAATTTTATTAAAATCGGTTTAGTAGTTTTGTTTCTAAATAAAAAAAAAGCTGGTACCACTTTTACCACAACTGAAGTCGGCTTATTTTTTATGAAATTAAATCTTAAATTATTGACTTATCGTATGGAAGCTTCTATTAGTAATATTTCATGTAGTTTACTCCCACTTTTATTTAAAACGCAGCAGAGTACGCATTGCTGTTTCACTACAGCAATAGAAAATATACATGCACACAAAAAAAATCTCGTCTAGAGTCGTATCTAAAAGCGTCTGCTCATAAGAGACTTTCGACATGTAAAGAAAAATTAAAACAAACCCTTTATGCCTCTACTTGGCGCCATCGTTACCATAGAGTCTTTTCCCGTTTTCTTTCTTTTTTAACACGTCTGAAGTTGTCTCGTGTTTTTGGCTTTCCCTTTTCGTCTGCACGCGAGTGGTCGGGGCGTTTCATAATCTCGAAATTTCTTTCAATATTACTTCCTGTAACAAGCATTTTAATAATAAAAATATAATATTAATGAAATTAAACAATTTACCACGTGAAATATGATCAAAATTTAAAAGTTGCTTTTTAACTAATCATTCATCACTTGCAAATTTCGAAAATTATTTTGAGATTTCAAATTTCATCCTCGGAAATAGATGTTCAGTTATATAAATACAAACACTGGTTTCATATACCCTTTATGACTAAAATATAATATTTATTTATATATATGATTCGATATATTGGGAGAGGGAAGAGGGGGATATAAAACCTGGTTTGATCCATTACACTGCCTTGTGTTGAATTACTGTTGAGATACAAACCTAAAATATAGTCAATACAATTTATAACTATTTATCAACAATTTTCATTAATTTTCACTGCATAATTACATTTCTATTCTATCCCAAAGATTAACAAAGAAATAATGCTATATAGAATTAAGTCCGCTTTCTGTACAAAATATTTTTTAATGTAGTCGAATAAATAAACTCTCAATATAGTTTAATATTGAATTCTCATTCAGACCAAAAGAATATTATCTACTAGTGAAATTGTTTGTTTTCCCTAAATAAATATGAGCGGACAAACGAGAGATTGCTTATTCTTTAAAATATCCATTACTTTGATCCATTATATGTACTTTTTTGTTAATAAATTTTCCATTATTTTGCGGGCAGTTAAAAAATAAAGAATATAAAATACACACGAGAAACTCGGCGTCTGTAACATTCGCCGCATCCATTTCCTTTTTCATGGCAATAATATTCTTTTTAAGTTATTTAGTTTCCACTCTGATATTAGGTATCCATTTTACAAAGAGCTCTCTACTTACACACAGCAAAAACTGCTACCATAAAAATAAGCTTAAACATTATTGCACAAGGCAGGTCAAGTCATTATGGTTGGACGTTAAGGTAGCCAAAAACAAAGGACATATTTCCCTTGTAAGCAAAACCCTCTCATTTGCGCCTCTTTAAAAATGCAGATGCTTGTGGACTGCAAGGATGACAATTTCAATATTTGCACATTTAAATTTTTTGAAGACACCCACATACATTATTCAAAAGGGGGATTTTTTACACTTAGTAACCCATTGTTGTACAAATGAATAAGAACCTCGAATAATTCAAGTATATTTTAAGTTGCGTAAAAAAAGCATATACATGCTTTTTAAAATTGTTAACAAGCTGACGACCCACTTAAAGGAAACCCCAAACTATCATCAATGGATATGAACAACACCACTCAATATTGTAGGATACGTCATGATGTAAATTTTAATGTAAATAAAAAAATAAAAAATAATTAATGCCTTGCCATTCCTGAGGACTAAGATTTTATGCCTCTTTCAAGCGAAAACAGAAACATATATATAGATATCTGGTGGCAAAAATACACATGGGACAGTGGTGCCCATACAAACAAGTTATATACAATGATTCCCTCTGACATAAAAGAATTAGTAGATGCCTTAATAACTCTAAATACTCCAATGAATCTGAGAGATCCCGTAAACAAATATATCCAACTAGCATTCTGATAATGGCAAAACTGATTATTTTTATGTTAAAACTGAACTACTAAACCAACTTTGATAAAATTTCTATTGAAAAAGAAATTTCAAATCGATTCACAAGTGACGGAGTTCAGAGGTAACAAACAAAAGTACAAAGTAAATGAGAACCTCCTTCTTTCATGAAGTCGGTTGAAATCCATTTTCAACAGTAATAAGAATAATCGATCCTCAAAAAGATCTGTTTAGTATAGTATCCATATCAGCCAATAACCCCCAATAGTTGCCACGCTTGGCAGGGGGGTTTACAACCGCAGTTAAGCTTGGTGTTTTTTTAAGAGGAACACTGCTGCCCATCCCTCCACCATAAGCTCCCTTAGTCGCCTCTTACGACACTCACGGCAAAGGAAGGAGAGGTTTTCCTTGGAAACCATCGTGTTGAATTCCATATGTATTCATTACAATGGGCTAATTAGCCTGCCTTTTCCTTTTAACCTATGATCCTTCACTGTTACGATTTCATTCCTATCCATTAAATAAAAAAAAAAAAAAAACTCACTTTCTCATTTATATATATATATATATATATATATATATATATATATATATATATATATATATATATATATATATATATATATATATATATAAAAATACGAAATATCATTTTAATCCATTCAGTTTTTAAACGTCATTGCTGAATAGCCAACATGGAAACGTGTAAATATTTTTAAAACTTACCTATTAGTTAAATAATTATATTTACAATACATTTGCAATTCATCATTCATTAACTTCTTTATACTTCCTCATATTTGCAAGAAAGTGTGAATGAATTATGCAAATTTATCATTACCTACTAATAACATTAATGAAGCGAAGATGAACAAATACTTTTAGCATTTGCATAAATGAGATAAGTACTTAAATAAGTAAAGTCGATCCAAAAACGACTTTAGATATACAAGTAGGAGATACCTACGCATTAAAAATGTTGCGACACGCTTTAAAATTTGTTATTGACTATTTTTGAACTGCGGAATGGATAAATAAATAAAAAAAATTTTATTGTTCCCTTCAAATTTACCAGATGGAGACTTTGAACAAAAATAGTTTGCTTGGGCACCTCTGTCCCATTCACATTTCTACCATAAAGCAATTATATTTGCATGACTGTTTCGGTTTGAAGATATGAAATTAAAGACGAATAACACCTGAATCCTCAGAAATAGTAACGCATGTTAGGTATCATGAGCGAAACGATATACTCTGTTATGTCCATGGTACTGCTCATATCTATAGGCGACAGTTACCACTTTCCATTAGGTGAGCCGTCAGCTTGTTTGCCATTCTAAGTTGCATAAAAAAAATATAGTAAACACAATTTTCTTTAAACACAATTTATCTCAACAAAATTTGTATAGAATGTACAAGTAATCTGTTACTTTTCATCTTCAATCATACTTCATTTCAAGAGTAATGCATCAAATCCCCGACAAATCTTACTGTCATGTCAGCAGGATTAGAGATTTTTTTCAGCTACGTACATAGGAGAAGAAAAATCGTCAAGTACTCGCGTGTATTACAAAAGAGGGTAGCCTTACCCCTTGCTCCCACCCCACCTCAAAATGTTTCGGCATGTCTACGGATGAAGGAATATTTTTTGCGTGGAGAGGTCGTAAAAGTTTATTGGATTGTTGTAAAAAAAATGGGGGAATCATTTGGATATTTAGAATCGTTATTTTTTTTGTACTATATTTACTCTAATTATAGTGCACATCAACCATTCAGAATACATTATTCTCATTTCGGTTGATCGCATTCATGGATCATATAGTCCCTGCTAGCTTAAGAAATAACAGATATCATACCAGTGTATATAATACTAGATATATCCCATGTCTTCATCTGCGTAAATCCATATATGAAATATCCTATATGTTAAATTAGCGTAAATCAATATATAAAGTATCCTATATATCTTAAATTAGGACGTAACCTATTTATGTACTCAATTTCATTCAAATACGTACAGTAGTTTTTGCTTGATATATTTACTCTAATTCCAATAATTAGATCAAATATTATGTTTTAAGCTTAACTATCCGATATCTCCCACCTTCCTCTACATTTATCTGAAGTATTATCAAAAAAAAAGTTAATACATAATTGAATGTATGTTAAAAACTCCAATCAGTAACGGTCTATCCACTTTTAAATAGATTATTCGATTATAATTCATACGAAATCATGTCTGTAATCGAGCGATATAACTCATCTCATTTCTAACACTGTATTCGATTAATTTTAACTTCCATAAATTATTGGGTATAATTTAACCGATTAGTCATATAAGTCGGTATAATTATCTATGATGATAGGTATTTCCGATGTTTTGAATTAACTTTGTTTAGTGTTAGTAGTACATGAGGTATTATTACACAAAATTATTTCTTAGTAAGCTAATATAAACGTATTATATTCGAAGTATTCTTTTTTTAGCTCTCTATCGTGGTTTTTTTCCAAGAGATTGAGAAAGCATTGAGGCACTTATTGGCTATGGAAACCGCTTTTTTTTATACAACTTAGAATAGCAAACAAGCTGACGGCCCACCTGATGGAAAGTGGTAAACGTCACCTTTAGACATGAACAGTACCATGGACATATAGAAAGTTCGTATAAAAGTGTTCTGAATGCAGTACCATGGACCCCTTCCTTATGTCCCTAACAATGAGTTCTGGTCTGACCGCCGTATACTGTTGTCACGCCCATAACGAAACCCCGTCGGCATGGAGCCCGCTTCCGTTGAAGAGCAGCGCGTGTTTCTCTCGAAACTCGGCAAGAATGCCGTGAAATTTTTGCCGATCTCAGAACAGATGGGGATGAAGCTGTGAAGGCAACAACCGTCCACAAGTGGCTAAAAAGATTCAGAGAGGGCCGAGAAAGAGTTCGATGTTCGGGGGATTGTCCAATTCGTCCCTCCAGGCCAGACCACGTCGATGCTCCAGCTCCCTCGTCAGAATTGGCGCCGTTGGATTCTTCACCAACACAGTCCGTGAGTTTTTGTAAAAATTCCATTACGGTGACCGAAACTCGCCGGATTTGGCCCCGTGTGACTTCTTCTTGTTCCCAAAAACCAAATTGGTACGCATTTGGGGGACATAAATGAGATAAAAAAAGCTACGACGGGGCAGCTGAGAAACCTACAACCAGAACTTTCAGAGCCTTCTCACAGTGGAAACGGCGTTGTCACAAGTGCATTATGTCACAGGGGGAGTACTTTGAAGGGGATAAAATTGATTTACCTGAATAATTGTAAAATAAAATTTTTAAAAAACTTTTATACGTACTTTCCGGACAAACCTCGTATACTGTTTCGTCTATGATACCGCCCATGCGTTGCCATTCCTGAGGACTCAGATGTTATTCCTCTGTACCCAGTAAATTCACGCCATATCCCACCCTTCAAACCGAAA